ATTTCCCCTGCTTTCCCCGCCTTCCCCACATATTAGGTATGCTAATATATGTGCACTGGAGGATTGTGGGAGGAACATCTAGCCCCTGATGGGGGTCCTGTGGGGCACCCCTAAACACTGAGGAGCTCTCCTGGCCTCTTTCAGCACTGGGGCTGTGCAACTGTGTTCTGATCAGGAGGTGCAGCCAGGCGGTCACCATGCCTTTTGAGGGCAGGGCACACAAAGGGCCAGGAGGCTTAGGGGCCATTCAAACTCAGACCTGGCAGGGAAGATACCATTCTTGTAAGAGTGGTTTTCCCAGGGTAAGGCTCATCTATTGCACTTCAGATGAGCTGACCCCTGTAATTTCCTCAAATGTGGGAAAATCAACTGCCTAAATGAGGGACTGTGTTTCTAGTTTCCCCTGGTTTTTATAGAATCACTCCTTCCCCTTTGGTCCTTGGCTGTTTGCATTGCTTGCTGCCACAGGCCTGTTTGCCTTGCTGGTTTTCCAGTTGAGCTGCAGGGAGCAGATCTTGGAAAGCCAGCAGTGCAGAATGCTGAGGTCTGAACAGCAAGCAGTCTCTGCTGCCAGTTCAGAGGCCTCCTGGCATGGCAGTGGGAGGCTTTTGGGTGGTGGTGGCTGAACCCTGGGTTATTGCATTCACTCCATAAGACGCATGTACTTTCCCTCCCACGTTTTTGGAGAGAAAAAGTCAGTCTTATGGAGTGAAAAATACGGTATATAATCATAGAGCAGCAAGGAACAGGTAATGGCTATAATGGGTTTGGCTGCATGTGTATTTTTTGCACTGCTTTTGCCCTGTTTGATAAAAAAAATCACTGTAATCCATATCATTCTAAAAAATCAGATTTAGTCAAATTAATACCCTGTTTGTACTTTAAGGCCTGCAGGTTCACAATGAAGATTCATGTTTATGTAGATATTACATGGATATACCCAGGAAGAATTAGATATTTTTCTTAGAAAACATGTTCTTTCTGTATGTTCTTTCTGTTTACTAGTTGTTGTGAGGAACAGAAGTTGACGCAATTACCTGTGCCCCATTTTTAAATATTTACATCCTATCATGTGATACTGTCACAACCTTAAAGACAGCTTATGTACATCATGTGTTCAAGATAGCCCGATATAAAAAACATACAACATGAATGAAAATGCTGTCAAATTTACATTACAAGCCTAGATGATCCCAATCTTTTTCAGTTTCACTTTGCAAAAAAGAAAACAATTTTCCTCACCAAATCTTTCTCTCACTGTTGGCTTGTAAATTTCCAATTATTTCCCATTTTGTAAGCCCAGCAGTGTCTCCTCAGCACCACACACTGTCTATCTGTCTCTTTGCAAGTGTGTTGGACTGAAGTGAAAGCTTGCATTCCAATCTGTTCCCCCTGCCCCTGTGATGTCAGATTATTGCTGTCCTACTTGGAAAGAAATTTTTTAAAAAATTAAAATAACCTACAGCAGAAGTGAGAGTGGCTGTGGGAGGCAGCATGCAGAAGTCAACAGTTACAATTTACACCAACAAGAGGTATTTACATATGCCAAAATGATTTAAAATAAACTGATTTTGTATCCATGTTAACATAAACAGCCTTCTGTCAGCCCAATAATACCTTGCTTCTGATCAAAACCCCATGATTCCTGGGCAAAAAAACCTCTGCAATTCCATGTACGTTGTGTAGTTGTCTTTTTAAAAATCAATTTAAACCATGTTAAATGTGATTCAAATCCTGTTCTTTTTCCTAGTGTAATCGGGGTCTCTTAAATTCTGGGAAGACTTGTATCAAGATAATATCTTCCCTCAGGGTTGACTTCCAAACTGCTGTTTCTGAATCTGGAATCTCTGTTTAGCTATCACGGCTAATCAGCATTAATAGCTTTGTGCTCCATGAGTGACACTGCTTTATGAGAGACTGAGAAAATAGAAATGGAAGTATAGGGAAAATACAGTAGGTGCTGTATTATGCATATTGAATCTGAGATAAAGGTATGATACCTAAACAGAACCAGCCATTGGAATTATTAGTAAGAATATAGCAAGGAAAAATGAGAACTGAAAGGTAAGCCTTGGAAATGAAGAGTGTAACAATTATATGCAGACCAAAGAAGCATTGTTACAGAGTTTTTTGGAATGGGAAGGTCCCCCTAGTAAAATTAAACTGAGAAAAAACATTATAATAATGAAAACGAAAAAAGAAATTACAGTCAAATCCCGAAGAATGGTGAGAACATTATTACACCTTATATTCTGTTTTTGTTGTTACACATATTCTGGTGGAGTACAACAGTATAAAACAATATAAAACTATTCAGTAATTTTAATCCATTTTAAACATTTAATTTAAGTGGTTGTTGTAAGCATTGAATGTATTAAAAACAACAACAATAGAGGATCCTCCATAGTCTATTAAAGACATGATTCTAAATCCCTGAAGGCTTTGGTATAAATAACTATGTTTTAACTTGGTGCTGGAATTAGATTTGTGTTGGCCTCAGTGGAGTCGCTAAGGGAAGAACATTTCATAACTGAGAAGGCCTTTTCCTTTGTCTCCACATAATGGATCATTCTACATGGCTTGATATCAAGGACTGCCCCCCCCCCCCCCAAGCTTAGTGATAGGGCAGTTGTATATAGGGAAAGGTGCTCCCTCAATATTCAGCTCTCAACCCATTTAGGACTTTATAAGTCTTAATTAACACCTAACTTGGACTAGAAGCATATTGGTAGCCAGTGCAATTCTTTCAGAACTGATGTCAAATGGGCTCTGAGAGGTGTGTCTGCTAGCAATCAAGCTATTGCATATTGCATTCTCTGCAGAATCCATATCTTCTTCAAGAGACAACTCTACATAAAATGCATTACACTAGTTTAACTGGGAGGTTACTATTGCATGAACTACTGTAGCCAAGTTGTTCCTGTCCGGGAATGATTTATAGCTAGAAATTGTCCAAGTTGTTCCAAACCACCAGTCACCTGAGTCTGGAGTGACAAAGATGGCTGAAGAAGTGCTCCAGGCTGCGCACCTTCTTCAGAGGGAATCTAGCCCCACCCAGAGTACTGTAGCTGCTGCATCAGAACCTGTGGAAGATTGAAGAAGGGTGGGAATACGATAATGCTATTATAAGTTAATATGTATATTATAGATATCATGAGAAAATTTAAACAGCAATATCAGGAGAGTATGGATACTGAAAATCAGACTGGAAAAATTAAGTAGTTAATTGGAAACAAGTAATGGGACATTGGAAATAGATTACTCGAGTAATTTAAGAGAGATATCAGACAAAAAACAAAAAATTAAAAAAAAAAACAAGAGACAAAAACATTTTAGCACCTTAAAGACTAACTGCTTTATTTTAATATGAGCTTTTGTGGATTAAATCCACTTTCTCAGAGATGTTAACCTCTTTCTCTGTGTCCTTTAACACTAAGCAGAAATGAATCTTAAATTTATTTAAAAATCATATTATTTGTAATGTGGGTATCCCATACATAAACAGACGGAACAAATCAGTAACCATGTTCAGCAGTGGTACTTTTTCACAGATTCTCGATAGCTACGGCAGTGTTTAAGACGGTGCAGTGAAGTTGCGATCCTGATTGAAATGTCACATCGTCTGCAAACTCTGTAGATGAAATCCGAGCATGCCATTGTCTCTTAGCTCCAGTTCCTTCCCATTTGTTATAAGATGAGAATAATTCAGGATTGCTTTTATGATTGCTAGCTACACTGTTGAGTAGTTGTAGATACTTTTTGTTATTATTTATTATTCATGAGAAGTGCTTTGAACACTCAGAACTGCTATGTATAAATGCTTGCTGGAATATCTTAGCTTTTCATCAACTTTAATTTGTATCTGTGAACTACAGAGAGTGGAAGTCCATTTTTGGTCATTTAATGTGAAAATCTTTTATTGAAAAAAATATTTAAAACAGTATCCAAAATCACTGATTTGTATATTATGGGATAAATGCAATTGCAGGGTGGATTTTATTTAATGAAGTGGTTGAAATCATTATTTAAATCACAATTTAAATTGCTACTCACAAAGAGCCCCATGTACTTGCTTTAACCTTCATATGTATTTTCACAAATCTGTTGCCCAGATTGTCTCCATTGCCCACAATCCTCTATTTATTGAATCATAACAGTGTCTTGTCTTAAAGTGTACAGACCAGGGTGGATAAAAATAAATGATATTTAAAAATCAAATTGATTTAAATCATGATTTAAATTTTAAAAACTGTTGTTAAGAGTTATTCATCTCTGGAGATGCAAACCTAGTTTAAAAATCACCAACATTTATATTGGCAGTTACTAGACTGAGTGCTGGAGAGCTAAAAAGATAAAATTAAGATCCCAATCCAGGAACTGAACTGTATTTATAGAATGTTTAAAAAGTGGGTTTATGACTACTTTTTCTCATATGCATGATCTCTGTTTTATAGTGAGATATTTGAAGCCTAATGCATTTTAAATTAGGCCTGCCATAATGTTGTTAAACTTGTCATTTATTTATTTATTTATTTATTTAATTTATATGCCGCCCACTCTACCCAAAGGTCTCTGTAGACCTTCTTTAAAGTTAGAAGCACTTCAACAATGAAAAAAAATCATTTAAAAATTTTACAAATTCCTGTTTCAATAATAAAATTATTTTTGTTGTTATTATTATTAATTTGATTTTTATCCAAAAACTAGAAGAGATGCATTGAATGTATTGAATAGGTTCCATACATTCAGTGTTGAGTCAGAGCTAGTAATCGGTTTTATGCTGCTGCTGTTTTACATTATGCTGAATTATATGCTGCTGTTGTTTCACATTTACTTATACTGCACTTTTTTTTTAAGGTGGTTTAGTCTAGAGTCCAAACAAGGGAAAAGAACTAAGGACCGAGGAGAGATAAAGGTCAATATACAGTTTATGAGGAACAACATGACAGCAAGTATGTTTGATCTCTCAATGAAAGACAAGACTAAGTCTCCTTTTGCTAAACTCAAGGACAAAATGAAGGGTCGCAAGACAGATGGGACATTATTGGATACATCTTCAGCAATCATTCCAAGTACTCATATGCCAGAAACAAATGCTGTAACTTCCCTCAGTGAAATGCAGTTAAAATCAAAACCAAAAAAGCCTTTCCTTTTGGGACCCCAGCGACTATCTTCAGCCCATTCAATGTCTGATTTAACTGGGCCTCAGGTTACTTCGGAAAAAATTAAATCAGGCGCAGTTGGCAACACGTACCTCTTCAGACGTCAGCTGGAATCTGTTGGTTTTGTGGATGATAGTGGTAAGCATAGATGTATTTTTAAGCAGGGAAATTGCTGGTGTTTGACTTAAGAAACTTTTGCAGATCCCTTCTCATTGCTACGACAATCTGATAACTTCGCACATTTGTTCTAAAGAAAAGTATGGTTACAAAAGCTTGCCAGCAACTATGCACCAACAGATCCATTGTAGTACAAATCAATATGTGTCAGCTACAGTCCTGTTTGAAATAGCATAATGTAACTCATATTTGTTTCATGTTTATTTTTAAAGTGATTTATCTATTGTCTTTCGATTATAAATGGTAAGCTATTTCATGAACTGTCATTAAAATAAAATAACAAAAACCCCACAACACTACTGATCAACAGCATCAAAACATTTTAAATTATTTCATTGTAAAAGGCTTGTGAAAAATGAATGGCATGTGTTCTGTTGAGTTTCAGCTGATTGGAGAGTCTCTCCAGTGTGGTCATACAACTTCATGTCACTTGCACAAGTGTTGCTGTTGTAGAGGAGTATGTGATGTCCATGAGGAAAACCTGCCCTCTGCTTATACAACAGCAAAACATTAACAAATGATACAATTTACTACACTGGTGGAACTGTCCACTTGGTGGAGGTTCCTTAGAATAGTTACAACTGTGTCTTGGACATGTTAATCTACTCAGTACTGATGATTTCCATTGAACGATTGATAGCTGATTTAATTCTACTGATACAGTAAAGATAATTTGGGATGTGGTCCATTTTGCCTGATCCTGAACCCTTATTTGGTAGCTCACTGAGTTTTGTGGCCAAACTTTGTATTCTAAAGTAAATGCTGGAGACCTGATCCAGTTTGGGACTCTCAGTTGACATATGGTGATTTAAGCACTTTATACTTTCTGTAATTTTGATTGAGCCCTCCAAACCTTAATTTTTTTTTTTGGCTAAAAAGTAATCAATTTGGTTGAGTAAATCACTTTTTGTTAGTGTAAATTGTGGACACAGAATCAGATTAGGATCACATTCTGGCCAAAGGAAATCTGAATTGTATCCCTTGTTCTTAAAATAAAGCAAAACAAGAAAAAAATATATAGGTTCTTGGTACATTTTTAGAGTAATGTATTGTTGATGCTGACAATCTTGCTAGTATGCTATCTGTCTGTAATTTAAAAGAGCATATTTCTGAGGTAGATGCCAAAGCTGGCTAAAATATTAGATGTAGCATGGTGATTACAGTATTAGGTTGTGACTTGAAAGTTCCAAATTTAAATCCAAGTTTCCCTTGGCCGTGAAGCTGATTATGTGACTCATGCCAGTCACCTTCTCATATCCTAACTTTTCCCTCACTGTTATTATGAAGATAGAGCCATGTGTACTGCCCTATGAAGGGAAGATAGATGAAAATTTTAAAAACAAAACATTGTCCACACAATAACTATATATATTTTTACTATTTTCCTAAGTCAGGTCAGTTATGTTCACTTCTCTATGAAAAAAAGTTTGTGACAGTATTCCAAAGTCTGGGTTGGGAAAGGTTAGCAGGACTGAGGCTTGTTTTTCAGATTAGCCAGCTGCTTGAGGGCTATGCTATGAAGGGTGTGGGTCTAAAGGGAAAAATCTTAATGAGAAACTAATTTTCATATTTTGTTAGTTTTTTTCTTGAATTTTGATGCTGTCTTCATGTGCTATAAATGTAACTATAATTGGTTTTTGCTAACTGAAGAAATGAGTTTAATTTTTTTTTTAAAAAAGTTTTTTAAACAACCAAAAAAACCCCATTCTTGCATCCTCTAGTGACTAAACTAAGTTGAGGGTATGGGCAAGTCCAGGGGTGCTGAGAACCCATAAAAACATGGCAGATGTGCCCCCTCGCATTCCCTAAAGGGCTCAGGGGAATGTTCTGAACATTAAATAAATAAAATAAAATACAGTAATTAGAGGGGGCAAGCACCACCCAGGTATTCTGATGTGTGGAGAAATGGCTCTGAAAGCAGTATGTGGCCCTTGGGGGTCCATGTTATCTCCTTTGGTATATAGACTCAAGCAACCATCCTCCTTCATATAGATACAATGTTTCACTGTAAAATTTAATCATATTTCTCTGATCCCTCCCATTGAGTCAGTGAAATTTTAAAATGCTTTGGCTATTTATACCTTTTGTTTAGAACACAATTTAACACAAGTTGAATAAGCCACTGTATATTGTAATAATTGCAGACCTTCTAAAAGTTAGTTGCAGGAGCTGTTGTAGTGCTGAATTTGATGCCATGTCTCTTGTTGTGTACTGATAATAAAATTATTTTCAGGAAATCTAAAATCTCCACACAGACGGACGTTAAGTGCAGATGCAAGTAAAGTGAATCAGCTGGACAACACAGTGGATGATAGTGACTCAACTTTTGGCACACAAAATGACCCTTTCACAAATGTGAGTGCTTCATTGCCTCAAAAGTTTGCCACATTGCCAAGGCAGAAGAATCCTTTTGAAGAAAGTTCTGTATCATGGGATCAGAATCTGTTTTCAAGACCTGCTGAAATTAAAAAAGACATTAAAAAAGAAAAAAAGGAGAAGGTTAGTCTTTTTGAAAGAGTGACCGGGAAAAAAGATAGTAAGCGGTCAGATAGACTTAGCAATGGAGGGTCAGATGATTTGAAGTCACCTAGTGCTTTTGGAGAAAATTATCAAGACACTTTTGATTTTGATTCAGCAAATCCTTTTGCAACAACGTTCAAACCTACAAGTATGCTGCCGTCTTCTAGGTAAGTTTCATATTTAAATATGACATTATGGATCTGGTCTGTCTGATCCTATTATTGAAAGATTCAACAGTGTCTGCAAGAGCTTGGACCTTTTTAGTAAGGCCCAGAAAAAACCCACATGGTCATTTATGATTAATTTATTTTAAAAAATAAATATTGACATAAACCTCCCTATTTGGGTATGTGTTTTGACCACTATAGTCGAAACTTGTTTTATTGTAAAAACGAGTTGTGTATGTTTACTTTTCAATTTTTACTGTTACATTTAATTTGTTTTTTTAATACGTTATTATTCACTTAAAGGTATAGATGCAGTACATAAATCTAAGAAAAGTAAACAAGGTTATTGCCGTTAGCCTGCATACTTTTTTTGGGGGGAGGAGTATTTTTCTTTTTAAGCTTAGGAGATCATGAAGTTTTTGATAAATGTAATGACAATTTATGCTGTGGTGTTACATAGATAAACCTTGTGCTTCTGTGCACCTTCTATTCATGTTCTGTAATTTTCTTTCACACATCAATTGACTAATACATTGTAACTTGATGTTATATTCTAATCATGTAAACTGTGGTTCACTGAAAGCAGAAAGTGAGTGGGAATTGGGCTTTCAAACAGAAGAGGTAAGAATTATGTGAGTGCCACAATTCTGCATCTCGTAGTACTAAAGCATGATTTTTACATTGATCTAGGACAGCTTGTAACAAAAATTTAAAAATGAAAATATTTGATAGAAATTAATAAAACATTGACCAATAAAATGATATCAAGCTCAGTAGCCATCTCCCTACTTTTCCTAGTGAGGGCCATCTAGACTATGGGGCTCATAAAAAGATTTAAGGTGTGGGCTGTTGCATATACAGTGAGCTGCCTTAAATTTATGGGTCTTCATTAGGCATTCAGTGGACTCAGAAGGTGGAGTTCTTTGAAGAAAGGATAACAGAAAGTTTCTTGCATAGTTCTAAAACAATTTTCTGTTGAAAGATCTTTCAAAGATATGGTTTGACTAAAAGACACAACATCACTTAGTTACCACTAAAGGATAACTGCAGGTAATGAAGAACTTTGTCACCTTAGTTGCTAAAAGTTATAATGAAGTGCTGTATATTTAGTCTGTGTTTTCATATATTGCTCTTGGGAAATGACAGCCCAGTGTTAGGTCCTGGTAGCTCCAGTTGTTTTTTATAGGTAATAAGGTATGCTATGTCTTTTAATCCTAATCAAACCTTTGATTTTTCCCCCCGGTAATCTTTTTGATCTCTTTTATAACTTCACTCATTCATTCCAGTTGCTCTCAAGAAGTTAAGCCATACCAGTCTATTGCGGCAGTAATGTACACTGGACATACTCAAGGACAAATGTCAGATTAAGTATAGAAGTCACCCCTAAATCAACCAGTTCTGTGCTCAATATTTCTACAAGAAATGTTTGTTTTTTTAAAAGAAACACAATGGTAGGCTAATACACTGATGTGAAAATTTCTCAATTTACAGGACTTGACAGGTGCTAAAAGAAATGCATCTTTAATTTTAATGTGTTGTTAGGCCCTCTTTAGAGGAATTGTGCAAGTTATTAACAAGGTCCTCTGAGACAGGAGACGAGTAATTAACAAGACCTACAGAAAGAGAGTTTGGGTAATTAACAAGCTCTTAGGCACTGGACACAGGGTAACAAATAGTCCAGTAGTTAAAGGCGACAGGTTGTTACCAGCATGATGAAATGCCAGATTTGAGAATATGACCAGATAGGTGTCTCAGTGAGGTATCTAATTAATGTGTGTATGTGCATGCAATTTCTTTTTTTGTGACACAAAAGCCACATCCCTTCTTCTAAGATTCCTTTTTAGAATTGCAGTTCCATTTGAGAATTGGTAATGGTGGTCTATGTAAAGGAGAATATATTTATGCGGGAAAGCTATGCTCCTTGGCTCTAACACAGGAAAGAATTGAAAGTTGTTCACTACATCACTCCTACCACACTTTAAAAGCAGCATCTGTTTATCCTGCCAAATCAAGACTCCTAGGAATTGTTTGTACAGTAATTGTATCTTTAGTATGTCACCCTTAGAAACTCCCATCCACCATGGACTTCTTTCTCTTTGAGCATTTCTTACCATAGGATATGAACCAGTGTTTCCTCAAGCTTTTTGAAATTAGCTCTTCTAAAGTTCAGAGTCCATGTTATACTATTTTCAGCTTTCCCTTTTCTTGGTATAACACCTTCCAAGAGGATATGGTCATTTCCACTCAAAGTTCCCACTATTTTCACGTCATTGACAAATTCTTCTTTGTTAGTTATGACCAGACCCAGGACAGCTAATCCTCTTGTTTTTTCCACCTTACAGAAAGATGAAACTGTCAGCAAGGCAAGTGAGGAATTTGGACCTCAATATTTTAACAGATTTGGAGTTCCAAATGGTATCAGTATAATTGAAATCTCCCATTATTACAGTGTCTTTGAATTTTTGGCACTATTTGAAATTTTCATAATCTAATCTAGGAGGGCATTACTATCAGGTAAATTAGTATTGGCAGAGTGTAGAAATTGCTAGCTTGAAACCTTCAGCTACATAGTGGAGAAAAAAATCTAGACAGGGACATACAGAGTAGATTATTATATAACTGTAAGTATCCTTCAAGTATACCACCCCTTAAAGTTAGCTTTAACTCAACTGGCAATATAGTCTCAAAAGACTCAGTCTGAGACTCTGTTGTTGAGAAAGGATAAAAATGTTTCCCTTTTACTTGCAAATCTTCAAATAAAGCATTTTTACTTGTTACATAGTTTAAGATCTTAACTGGTCAACGTCAATATTTGACTAACTGACTGGTTATGTAAACACTTCGCTCAGACTCTAACTGTTGACTCCATAGCCTTCAGACTATAACACACATGGAACAGTGACATTGCTAACTGACACAAAATCTAGACTGAGTAAAAAGGCAGAAAAAGTAATCTCAGAGAGATTGGCTGCTACTGTGTGATTGAAATTCATCCAAAGTCGCTCTTATCCCAAACTCTTAAAGGTATAATATGCAGGTTGCTATAATTTCAACAGTTAGGAGGTCTCTAGCAGACCCCCACAATTATGTCCCTGTTGTTTCTCTCTCCTTTGATTCTTACTGAAATGCTTTCCACTAGCATTTCATGCTCTAATTCAATGATTTCCAGCCTTAGTTCCCTAGATATTTTTGGACTAGAACACACAGAAATCCAGACCAACATAGCTAGTGGTGAAGACTTCTTGGAGTTTTTGCCAAGAACATCTGGGGAACCAAGGTTGGGGACCTCTGCTGTAATTCATGAAGTGATGGAAAAAACCATGTTCCTCAGGGTCCTGTGTCTTCCTCCCAAGAGCCTTGTAATACTAAAATATCCAGAAGGGAATGTCTCACATCATCATTTATTCCTATATGGATCAAAATGAAGGGATAATTGTCAGTAGGCATGATAAACTTTGGCAAACATTCTGTCATGTCCAGAATCTTTTCACCAGGGGGACAGCAGATCTCCCAAGACATTCTGACAGGTCTGCAAATTGCCATTTCAGTTACAGTGGTGCCTCGCTTTACGATTGCCCTGCATTACAACAACTCCGCTTAACGATGATCTTTTTGCAATCTCAATTGCGATTGCGAAACAATGATCTGAATGGGGGAATTTCGCTTTGCGATGATCGGTTCCCTGCTTCGGGAACCAATTCTTCGCAAAATGACATTTTTTTGAACAGTTGATCGGCGGTTTCAAAATGGCCACCGGGTGATTAAAATGGCTCCCCGCTGTGTTTAGGGATGGATTCCTCGCTATACAGGCAGCGAAAATGGCCACCATATGGAGGATCTTCGCTGGACGGTGAGTTTTTACCTCGTTGGAACTCAATGAACGGGTTTCAATGCGTTTCAATTGGTGTTTTTTTTCTTTACGATGTTTTCGCTTAACAGCGATTTTCCTGGATCGGATTATTGCCGTTAAGCGAGGCACCACTGTACCTTCAGTGGGAAAGTTCCTACCACCACCACACATTGCCTCCTCTTCTGGGAAATGATAGGAATTCTTCCATTTACAATCTCCTCTGTGGCTGTTTCTGGGCTCTCTGCTGCCTACGTATGTTCTGGCAGCTCTGTATCATTGTCCATGAAAATATTCTTGGACTATTGTTCTTACTCAGACAAGGACTGCTGCCTCTCTTCCAACTGCTCGGAATGACTGTCCATGGAGAGGGTCTGATAGTGACTGTGTAGCTCCAAAGACACTGTTTACTTCCTCATAAACCTCTGTCTCTACTTCCTTGCCTCTTGCATTTCTCATTCATCTTCCTCCTCAGAACAATGCCTGCTCTGTTGCTCCAGGAGTGTTATTTCAGCTCCATCCAGAAAATACTTCATTTTCCCCAGTGAGCTATAGTGTGACTAGGTGAGCATTGAGCTGGTACCTTTCTTCCGGTAGGGCTACTAGCTTGCATTTGATACAAGTGTACCCTCCTACTTCTTCAGACAGGTAGATAACCTGCCACAGTTGCTTCAGGTCACTGCAGCTGCTCCTTCAATGTCTGTTTCTTCTAAGCAAACCATGACATAACACTGCTGCCCCCCCCTCACTGAAATTCCCTTGCTAAATATCCACACAAAACACCATTTTTACTCTCCTTGACCTCAATTAGTCGTTGGATTTCCATATTTTTTTGACTACAGTCTGCAGAAAATGGCAAGAATTCATTCAGACAGAATTTTGGGGGCTTTCGCAGGTTGTCACTTAGGCTTCTTTGATTTTGTCACATGTGCAGTAGTCTAGTTGTGAGAGCCTACCACATCCTTGGATATTATTGATACCATTGCTATGGAGTCTTCGTTAAAAATGAAGCTCATCTGGAGAATGTTGCAAATAGGTAGCAGTGAAGCTGAAAACAGATAATTCTGAGGTAACATAACAAATACATATATCTCATGTATGTTATTTCAAAATATAGGGTCCTGTGGCTCTCAAAGTCCTCACGAATCACTATGCCCATCGTCTCTCACCTTTGGACAGGTAGCCTGGTGCTGATGCAAGTTAGTCCCAACAACATCTGGAGAACCATAGGTTTCCCAGATCTGTTTTATCCAAAAGTTTTCAGAGTAAAAACATCCTTTTTAGATGGATGAAAAATTAATGATTCCATAAAGTCCACACATGCATTTTTTTCCTTGCTACTCTTTTGCTAGAACTTATGTTGTAAACAATTCTTGGATTGACGTGCTAGTGTATGATAAATCTGCCAATTTAAAATGAACTAAACAAGTAGATACTGTCAGAACTGTAATTTTTGTTAATTTTTTTTCATAGTAAGTTGTTTTATTATTCTAAGGAAAGACTATAATTAATTTAAAGATCCTAACTCTTAAAGAAAGAGCTAGATGGAGGCAGAACTAACATTAATCCTGAAGGCATCAGAAGTTTTTCCAGTCATGAGAATATAAAAGTCAGTGATTTTTAGTATATTGAAATATTTTTCCATGTGTTGTATCATGACAAATACAAGCAAAGTAGGTTTGACTAGTATCTTGTAATCTATATTGACAGCTTATGTTTTGAAATGTTCTTTTTCTACTTCAAACATTTTAAAAATCACAGCTTAAGGAAAAATTAAACGTCTTAAGTAATCTCCATCTGTTTTGTTTATCTTTTTGCTTTCTTGTTGTCTGACAGTCTCAGCTGCAACGTTATTTGCCTCATCTGTGGATTTCCATGCTTCTGCACGCTGATGAGATTTAATGTTCAGACTTTGCTGCTTTAGGGTGTCAGCCATTAACTTGAAATACCTGTTGACAACAATGTCAGTATTTGTAGAGTTTCAAACAGTACTAATATCTGGACTGTTTTCTAGCTTTGGAGTTACCTGTTTTTCCCCACTCACATAGTAGGGTTCTCCCCATTTTTGCCTCTCCACTCTTATGGCTTCCAACATCCCCAGAGATAAGTCCTACTAGTGTATGGCTTCCAGATCAGATTTTTGTTGCATATAGGGGCTGGCAGAAAGACGGTGACAGCCCTCATCACTTGTACTTATGGATGTTCCTTCTGTGAGGGCACTGTGACTATGATGGTCACAAATACATCTGATAAAACTATGGTGACCACAATTAAACCATTGAAATACTTGTCTCAGCCCAGCTGGTGCTCCAACCAGTGAGCATCCCTGTGGTGTCATTAATGCTGTTGCTGTCTAGTAATCTCTTTGTTCTTCACCATGATCCCTTTGATCATAGTGTCCGCTTTTTGCCCTGCAGTTTCTAAGGCTTCTATAGTGATACTGAAGCTAGTAGCAAGCCTCCCTGGCAGTCATCCAGCCAGTTGCTTCCATCTGTCTTAGCAGTTCAGTCAGAGTTCTCTGATTGCTGATCAATCTCCACAACTACAGGGTTGTCTGTATAGTCTGCAGACTTTTTTTTTTTTTGGTGGTTAGAACATGGCATCACCTACAGCAGATGTAGAACAAATTCTAAGGTTGCCCCTTTTCCTGCCAAAAATGAACTGTTATGTGGTGTGTGGCCAAGGATGTAGCTGTCTGTAGATCCCCTTGGCTCTGCTTCTCTGACCTGACCAAGGAGGAATGCTCTTGGGCCGGAGATCTGTGTTTTGACACAGAAGGCCTAAAATCGACTATATTATTGCTTATGTGCTGAGAGTGACTCAAAAGAAATATTTGACACCACTGTTCTCTCAGTACTGACATATCCAGTTTTCAAAGATAATCTCTGACATTTTCTTGTTTGGAGCAGTATCGCCATGGACTCCTTACTGAGCTATCATCTTCCAGAGGTGTTTAATAGAATATGATGCCTTTTCTTCCCCTCATGTCTTCTGTTGCACTCCAGTGTAAGCAGCACTACAGAAAAAAGTTGCCCTAGTCCTCAAGAACAGTGTTATCAAGCCCATACTCAAAAGTAAGGAACACCCTTGGTTCTACTAAAGATTAATCCCAGAAAGGAGATACTTCCCTCCTATCTTCGTTTTTTGAGTGCTAGAAACAGCCTGCTACACACAGACTGTCACACCGACTCTTTATCTGTTATTTGCTTCCATTTTGATCTAGTACTTCTTGTTGAATGTACAGCCAGAATTTTCTCTTCAGTAAAGGCAACTTTTTTGTTTCATTTATAAATTGTTATATAAAATTAGTTCTACAAGGGCATTTATATTTTGGGGAGCTCAAAAAGATATTTAAATCATCTTGTAATTATTGGAATTGCAGAATTAATTGCCATATAGAGATAGTGGTAATTATACTAAGGAATATATCTGAAGTGCCAAAACATATCTTAAGGCTTTTATATTTAGAGTTGTTCCTGTGAATTTTCTTATAGAGGTAGAAAGAGTGATCTACAGTTTTTGTTTTGCTAGCTCTTAAGAAGCAGTATCTTGTAATTTAGAACTGATGATACCTTGAATTCAAGGAAATAAGTGTTAACCCTTTGTCGACTTTATGAAGATGATGATTATGATATAATTTTGTCTGTGGTAGAAACAGGGAAGCTTTTCCTCCTATTCTTTGGGATCGCTTCTTCTGTACACTAGAAGACAGGGTTAACCTGCTCACCAGTTCTTCCCAAAGAGGAGGTCTTGAGGAGGATAAAAATCCAGAATGCACCTCTAAAGGCATTGACTTTATATGTTAATATTTAAAGGTGTTTCTCCATTTGAGGCAAGAATGTTTAGTATTTGTGATTTTATTGTTATCTTTTTTGCTGTTCCACTTGTACATGGGATGTATGTAGTATCTTGAAATAATATTAGCTGCTATATATTGTATGTATTCAGTTTCCCAGTGTGCTGTAGTGGATAGAATGATGGACTAGGACTCTAGAGAACAGGGTTTGAATCCCCGCTTAGCCTTGGAAACTCTCTGAGGGAGCGGAACTGTAAAGCCACTCCTTCAGTATCTCACTTACCTTGAAAGTCTGATTAGGGTCGCTATATGTTAATTCCAACTTGATGGCATAGAACACACAAACATATTTATTGACTGGATAGCTCAGTAAGTTGGTACCTGAGTTTGGTTCCTAATTGTGTCTTCTGGGGAGAAGATCTAGCTGGTGTAGCCTTAGGCAAGCTGCACAGTTGTAGAACACCACAAGAAGAATGTCTGATGAAGTAGACTAGTCCATGAAAGCTCACATTAAAATATACAGTTAGTCTTCAAGGTGCTACATTTTTGTCTTCTTTTTTCTTTTTCTTTTTGTTTTGGCCAAGAAAAATGGTAAAACACATCTGAGTAAATCCTTATGATAAGTGGAATTTAACTTGATGGCACTCTTGTTGATATATAATTTTTTTATTGCTTCCACAGTTTCAATGTGACTCCTGCAAATATGGAAGACCTCCGGAAAGCAATGGTAAGAAATTGCTATTCCATTTAATATCAAATAATTTATTCCTTTTAAAAACTGTTGCTGTTTTTAGATGACTTAGTTTGTCAGAAAGCATTAGAAGTATTTGGTCCTGTCATATTTAGCATTGAGAAAAGAAGTCTGAGGGGAGATGTGATAGCACTTTTCAAATACTTGAAAGGAGGAGAGGCAGGATCTGTTCTCGATCATCACAGAGTACAGGACATGCAACAATGGGTTCAAATTGCAGGAAACCAGATTTCAGTTGAATATCAGGAAAACTGCTTGTTAGAACAGCACACCAATAGGACCAATTTCCTCAAGAGGTGGTGAATGCTCCAGTGCTCTAGGCATTCAAGATAAATTTAGACAACTAACTGGAAAATATCCTTTGAGCAGGGTGTTGGACACGATGGCCTTACAGGCTCCTTCCAATTTCTTACTCTATGATTCTATGTACATTAAACAGAAGAATTTCTTTGCTGGCCATTTGTCAAAGGACCATCTAGTCTAGTCTAGTATTTCCTGAACTTGGGGTCTCATTTCAGTTTTTGGTCTACTACACTCAAAAGAGTCCTGCCATTGGCTTTGCTGGCTAAGCATTCTGGTAGTTCTCGAAGGTTTCATGGCCGGGATCCGATGGTTGTTTTAGGTTTTTCAGGCTGCTTGGCTGTGTTCTGGAGGTTTATCTTCCTAATGTTTCACCGGTCTCTGTGGCTGGCATCTTCAGAGGACAGGGGTTAGAACTCTGTGTTCTGGTGTAGTGTGGAATAGTTGAGTGTATCTGTGGGATCAACTTTTTGTCCTTTTCAGGAGATTGGGTAATGGTGATCAGGTTTTTTTTTTTTGTTCTGGATGTATTGTTGTGATAAGAGAGATGATCTGTCACTATGATTGATGGGTGTCATTAGCAAGTCTACTGTGTGCAATGATCACTGGTCCTTGTGGCTGGATAGAGTTTGTTGACCTTTTTGCAGGGTGTATTTTTCAGTGCTGAGAGCCAGGCTTTGTTGAGTTTTAGAATTTCTTCTTTTTTGTTGAGGCTTCAACAAAGCCTGGCTCCCAGTACTTAAAAATACAACAAACTCTATTGTGATCACTGCACACAATAGACTAGCTAACAACACCCATCATTCACAGTGACAGATCATCTCCCCTTTATCATAATAACAAAAAACACCCTGATCACCATAATCACCCAATCTCCTGAAAAGGACAAAAAGCTGATCCCACAGCTACAAATACTCAACTATCTCACACACTACGCTGGAACCCTGATCACCATAATCACCCAATCTCCTGAAAAGGACAAAAAGCTGATCCCACAGCTACAAATACTCAACTATCTCACACACTACGCTGGAACAAAGACAGCGTTTTAACTCCTGTCATCTGAAGATGCTGGCCACAGAGACTGGCAAAACATTAGGAAGAAAAACCTCCAGAACCCGGCCAAATAGCCTGAAAAGCCTACAACAACCATTCTGGTAGTTGCTATGCTGGAAGAACATTCAGGGCTTAAAGTTTGGAAACCACTAATTTAATCAATCTTTTTGTGTCTATTAGTTATCCATCCATCTGAGGAGCTCATGACCAAGATAGAGCCCCTGTTGCTTATTTCCAACATCTTGATAGATGGAGAGGTTATCATCTTTCAAGTATATAAGCTCTGTGTAGATGCTTTGGCTAGTAATTTGTAACTGTCTAAGCTTTAAAAACCATTTAGTCTAGTGTAGTAGTGGGTTTTATAAGCTATATGAAATATATTTTATTTGCCTCAGACTTGCTATCAATCAGTTGGTCTGTAATTTTGTTATAGTAGACTTCTCTCATATGTTCAAAGCATGCATGAGAAGATACAGAGCTGTCATTTTATCATGAGAAAAAGTCCTTATGGTAAAGATCTTCAGCATGACTTAGTGTTGAGTGTGGCTTGCCTGTTAGATGCACCCTCTCAGGAAATAAAATTCTGTATTTTCTTTTCTATTCACAACTTCATGAGCTAAACTTAATGAGCCTTTCTGTATAGAGAATTGCTCCAACCACATTATAGTGTTTTTTCCTCTATCAGTTTTGTGATATCCTTATTGAGTTGGCAGACAGAGCAGCATCACAGCATTAACTATTTTGGTACTCTTTTATTTAATTTGTTCAGCGGAATGTGCATTTTAAGTATCAGATTTGTTGGCAAAGAATAAAGGCAACCAGCCTTTCATAAATTCAGGTCATGTGAACTTTTATAAGATAGTTTAGGAGGGTTTACCTCAGTGAGAGTGATTAGTGTATAAAACCAGGTTGATATAAATAACAAAATATTTCTCATGAAGACTAAAAAGACTCTCAAATGCTCAATTCATTTTCTTTTGGAATATTTGTCATACTCTAAAGCAGTGGTCCCCAACCTTGGGCCTCCAGATGTTCTTGGACTTCAACTCCCAGAAATCCTGGGCAGCAGAGGCAGTGATGAAGGCTTCTGGGAGTTGTAGTCCAAGAACATCTGGAGGCCCAAGGTTGGGGACCAGTGCTCTAAAGGGTAAGAAGAAAGGCCAGTGTGGTGAGAAATTTAATGTTAACGTGCTGTATATAAATATAAGCCTGCTCAGATGGAAACAGGGTGTAGTAAGAACCTGTTCAGTAGTAATAAATAGTTAAAATATACTATTTTGGGCTCATTTGTAAGCAATATTGTTGTATCAGACCTGTATATAGGATATACTCTTGTTGACAGTTACTTGGGAGTATTGAGCTTCTTATGTATAAACACACATTTGTATTGTCATTCCATTCACATAAAGATTAATCAGTGTTACAGCAGGATTTTAATCAAAATTTTTTGAAAAATATAGGATTTTTATTTGTATCTCACTAAATGTTACAGACTGTCATCTTGATGTGTCATAATAAATGTATAGAAATGTATAATGTAATAAATATGTACAGTATTTTCAGTTGGGTAGGAATTGAATTAAGTTGTTACTCTTTTTAAAAAAATGTTTTCAGATATCTTCTGATAAAATTTAGGTATAAGATGTGAGCTTTAGCTGCATACGTAGTCCCATTTATTTGAAAAGGACTTTAAAACCAATCCTGTCTATGTGTACTTGGAAATGTCCCACAGGTTTTACAAAGTGTGGGTGGGATTGCTGCCTTATTTATTTATTTAAAATTTTAATATTCATGTTTCAAATATTTTTATGTAAATATATTTTAATGCTTTTGATTGTATTGTTTGTATTTTATTACTTTTATTTTCTGTTCTGTTAAATTGTAATTTAATTATGTTGTTTGTGCTTGTTGTAAACCACGCAGATTGGCCTTTGGCCAGAGGAACTGGAAAATAAATAAGCAAGCCACCTTTCTCCCAAAGGATTCAAGGTAACTTACAGTATTAAAAAAATTAAAAGTGAAATAATAAATCAGTACAATATTAAAAAAAAATTAAACAAGTATATTAAAACTCACAATAAGAACAAAATAAAAACACAAGTAAAACACAGAATAAAATGCTCCTTTTTAAAAATAAATCCCCTTGGTTCAAACCAATCATTTAAAGCAGTGGTCCTTAACCTTGGGCCTCCAGATGTTCTTGGACTGCAACTCTCAGAAGCCTTCACCACCACCTCTGCTGGCTAGGATTTCTGGGAGTTGAAGTCCAAGAACATCTGGAGGCCCAAGATTGGGGACCACAGATTTAAAGGAAAGCCTGCCTAAAGAAAAAGGTCTTTGTCTCCTTGCAGAAGGACACCAAAGGTGGAGCTAGCCTTGGTCATGGTTTCTTCCAGTTTGTACCATGTTTCTCCGGAAATAAGACAGGGTCTTATATTAATTTTTGCTCCAGAAAATGCATTAGGGCTTATTTTCAGGGGATTTTTTATTTTTTTCATGTACAACAATCTACATTTATTCAAATATAGTCATGTCATCTTCTGGTTTCTGCACAATTGTGGAGGGCGGGGTTTAACTTAACTAGGGCTTGTTTTTGGGGTAGAGCTTATATTACAAGCATCCTGAAAAAATCATACCAGGGCTTATTTTCAGGTTAGGTCTTATTTTTGGGGAAACAGGGTACAGTTTATCTGAAATATTCAGCTGGTTTCTATGCATTTTTAAATTAATACCCAGAATCATCTGGTGTGTTATTAATAACAATGGTGTTAAATTTTTAAAGATCAAATTCTTTTGTGTTCTGAAATTGAAGATGGTAAGATGATCTATGTTTGGCTTTGTTCTCCTTTTTGAATAAACTGTTCAATATATTCCTTGGAGGTTTGAAGTTTATTTTATGTAGAATACAGTTATAATATGGAAGGTATTAATTGTGTATTGTACATTTGACACACAACATTTGAATATCGCATGATTACCCTCTATATATTTTGAAGTAATTTAAATGAAATTCCTCCAATGAATTATTACTTTTCTTTCTTAAAAGTAGTGTTTGGTAATTAAGTTTATATGCTTGTGCTCTAGTGGTGCCAACACCTATCTCTGAATGAACAGTACTTAAACAGGAGAAGAAGCCAGTTGAAAGGGCAGTGAGAGCTCTTTAAAGCCTAATTAAGAACTGAAAGGGAGTTGAAGCAAGTATGACAAGAGATGTGAAAGTGGCTTAGATGATATTCCCAAAGCAAAATTCCTCATTAGAACAATAAATGGGGGATCAAAGAATGCCAGGTTGTCTTATCTTTCCTTCTTCCAGTAGTTGTGACTGGTAGCTTGTACCCAAATAACAGTTGATTATGAAGACTTTCTCAACATGTTTACGTATTTGAAAGTGTCTTTGCTGTTTAATGAATTTGAGTTCTTGTAACTATATTTTTAGAAAGCAGCAGCAAAATATTTGTTTTAAATTTATATTTGTCCTTAATTTAAATACGATAATCATACAATTTTTAGTAGTTGCAACATTAGTATGCACAGTGGACATTTTATCTAAGATCATGCATATGGTCGGATCATAAATGGTGTGTAATATACAATTGAAAATGCTGTGATGTCTACTAGAT